TACTTTGGCATTTTGCTCACAGACACAGCAGAGTTCAACATAAGGTTTAAGGATTGCCACAACTGAGACAGAAAAAGGTGGAGTCCCCAGTGCTTAGAGAACCATCTTCAACTTCTAAGTAATGCTTATTAGAAAGGGGAAGTGAACACAGAGAATACATGTTGGGGGAGGGAGGGAAGGGCATATTTAAAAAAAAGCAAGCAAACCTAGGAATTTGCTTAGGGACATATGAATGCAAAGGACAGACTGGTACAGCCTAGATGACCAACTGGGGTATGCAAGAACAACCACGGACTGCACTAATCTGTATCTGGAATGGAAGGAACAAATGTCATTTCGTCACAGAAAATCAGAAGCAAAAATATTCTCACAGAAGATATAAGTGATGCTGAAATCTTCTGTTTCTTATCAATTTTATTTTTATGAATACCAGCATGCCTTCACTTGCAGAAAGCTTGCTGGAGGTCCTAGCAACTTGCAGTAAATAAGAGGGTTGAGGTCAGAAACGAAAGTTTATAATTCATATTGAAAGCAGACTGGGAACTGTTTGTTTCTCTGACATTTTTCTCCCCTCAGACCTGATGACTGCAGTGTACCTCCTCACATTCACATGCTCACATCTTCCTAGCTAACAGAAGCCTTCCTTTGAGTACAGAAGAAACCCAAACTGCCATCACTTAAGTCAAATTTAAGACTACTGCCAAGGCCTTAGGCATGTGACTCCAAGTGTTCTGCTCCTGTGAAAGCTGTCACAGCTCCTACGTTAGAACTGAGGTGAACTTGTTTGTGATTCATACTAAGTATTCATGTCCACAATTCTACTTTTAACTCTGACAGCTACTAGTGGGAGAAAAGTCAATGAAACTGCTTTGAGGTAGCAACCCTTTATGTTCAGTCCTTATGTTTCCTCCTGCCTCCCTCTCAACTGGAGTAATTTAAAACTCTAATTTCCTCAGTACAGAGGCTGGTGTTTCTCCAAAAAATATAAATGTTGTGTCAATGCTAGGCCAGGATCAATAAACCTTACTGTGAATATGAAAATTAGGTTTTTTCAAAATATCGATACACCCCTTTCATCTCCCCCAAAGCTTTTGCTGCACACTATATAAGGCTCTAATCAAAAAGACATCACCAGACAGCTAGCACTCTTCAAGAAGACACTGCTTAAGCAGCAGACAACTAAGCAGAAGCCATTAAAGCTTGTCAAATCCAAAGGACTTTTGTAAACGGGATTAATATCCAAGTGATATGAATTCTGCAAAGAATTACACAGTTTGAGACACAAAAGATTTCTTAAAAGATGGAGGGGAAACCCTACTCTTGCATAATGCTGACAGAAAAGTATGTTTCTGCTATTTTCAACATCCACTCCATTCCCTTTTATTTTCAATAGTGAGTCTAAATAAAAACTACAGCTAGAAAACAGTAACAATACAGAGTCACATGAGAAAAGCAAGGCACTTCTTAAAAAAAAAGCCCTAAAACACTTAGTATAAGTTAAAAGACTTTTAGAGCCTCTATAAACCATCTTGTCCAAGGGCTGACTACAGAACCACAGGACTAGCTCAAGTGTTCACAAACACAATTGTCTAACATATGTTGATGTCAAAATCATCTCTCTGTAACTGAAATCCTTAAGTGCTGTGCGTGCAACAGGATTTACAGAAAAGCAATCTGTCAGAAAAAATGCTCTCGTACTGAAGAAAATGACAATGACACAGCTAGCTGGTTTTTGCCCTTCACATCTCCTCTTTTCCCGACATTTTTAAAGCACTGTCCAACTGTAATGTCCAAAATCCCTGAGTTGAGCAGTGAAGACTCAGTGTTTCAAAAAGGATATTTATTTCACTATATATTTTCGCTTCCCCACCACCAAAACACTTCCTTCCTTCTCTGTCCAATGCACACTTATTTCACAAACACACAGGAATGGACGACAGCAACCAGTGTCTTTTCTCTTCTGTCTGTCCTGAACTGCAGTAATTCATCAGCAATGCAAGCCAGCTTGCTGTTTCCTGACAGAGCTTATAGACTTGATACCTAATAATGATCAGTGGAGAAAAATCAACACAGCTTGACCAAAGGCACCAAGACATTCTAGTAAACAAAGTCAAAATGCCACCAAAAGAAACAGCTTTCCACTGCTGTAGAAATGGAAGCATATGCCGTTCCTATAATTATGTCTTTAAATAACATCAATCTATAACCCTAAGAAATTGGATTACATATCAAAGATGTATTATCTGTATTCTGTATTAACGTCGAGATGTCAGACATGCAACTACAGAGATATTTTGAAGTTCACCAGAAGGTAATCCCTTTCAGAAAATTACTTTGAAAAAATCTGACACAACAGATGCCATAAAATCTTCTCTCCTCAAACGTTAGGGATTTGGAAAAATTAATCTTTTTACCCTTAATCAGCTGTGCAAGTCATTAGCAAGACAATCTTATTTTCTTTCTCTTCTTTCTCCTACAAATTTCTTTTTGCTGTGTCAAGCACTCATGCTGGTAAACCAGCTCAGCAAGTTCATCAGATATAAAAATAACCTTACACAGACATGAAAATAACCTTACATAAAAACTTAGAGCACCACCAGCTTGTCACGTAACTAAATGGAATGGAAAGGGATGGTGGGGGTAGGCAACCTGTCCTTTTGATGACAGTCTGCATTTTATCAGATCAAGCATACCACAAACTGCACCCCACCAAACTAGGGAGAGACACAGTATTAGACAGAACATGTCTGAGTCAGTCTGAGAGTTCCTGTAAGTTAGGCAAGGCTAAAGCCCTTAACTCCTTAAGAATCTTACATTAAATTTAACTCATCTTCTTGAAAAACAGAAAACTACGTCATTGAAAAATCCCATTTTTCACACATATTCAGCTGTGAAACACCACATCCTTTCGGAAGCCTGCAGATTTCTTCAGCATTGATTGTAAGGGTCCACAACTGCAATGCTTTAATTATTGTCTTTTTAATTTAAAGTAAACTGTTTTCAAAGAAGCTTAGCAAACTACAGTGCAGAGAAAATTCTTCTGAGAATGAAATTAGAGCCAGAGAGCTTTAGCAGATTTTTCTTCTGCAAGCAGGATGAGACTGATGGTTTAAATGGTCTAAACTATTTCTGCACTTACTTGACTTCAAATTAAAAACTTGGTTTATAAGCTGTCTAGTTATAGTACTCAATTAGGCTAAGCATTAATATTTTTTTCTACACTGGCATTTCAAACAGCATTCCAAATGCAAAAAAAATTGAAATTTGGATGTACATAGGGATCAGATAATCTTGTTTTGGGAAACATCAACTAGTCCTATCTATTTAATTAAAATAACGGTGGACTTTTAATTTCTAAGTAAGAATTCAAGCTTTTACATTGACAGATGATATACAAGCATGACAAACAGCCATTAAATATTCCAGATCAATTCCTTACTTAAAAAAAACCCAAAACCCTAAAGCTAATGGTTAAATTTTTGACAGAAGAATGTATATTTACCTGTAAAATGCCACTTCTATTCTAAGACGTTCAACTTCCAATGGCTTTTCAATATATTTTAAGAAAAAGTTATGATTGCTATTTTTTTAGAAAACCAGCTTTGAAATTTTTTCTGAAAAAAAAATAAGAGCAAAACCCTACACATCCATGACTAAATGCACTAGAAAGGGTGATGTGCACACTGACATCTGAATTTCAAAGAGCACATTTCGAGTTTGGCTGTTAGGAATCCTACAAGGGAAAACAGTGGATTCCATCCTTGAAGATGAAGAACGTAGTACGCGACTAGACTATAAAACCGACTTTATGCGTTAATATATTGCCAATCCGTGCAACAACGACGCAAACCTCAGAGTATTTCAGCGCTGTTTCTTAAAAGGGTAAAAGGTTTCCTGTGCATTTCAGGCTAGGCAAGCAGTTCCTGGAGGGCTGCCGCCGGCCGGGCACGCCACGACGCCAAGAGCTATCGCTGGCCGCCGCGGCTCCGAGCTGCAGACCCGGAAGGCCGGGGCGAGGGGACTCTGCCGAGCCTGCCACACAGGGAGCCTGTCCCCGGGCGACGGCTGCGACGGGGGGGCACTCGCCAGCCTTCACCCGAGCTGGAGAGGGCGCGGCGTCCGGGCCGGACACGATGCTGAGGGCAGCCGCCGGTGCTTTCCAGCCACGGGAGGGGCAGCCCTCGCCGCCGACACCAAGCAAGCGGCGCGGAGGTTCATGGCGGCAGGGTGCGGTCCGGAACGGAAGGGCGACTGTGCCCCGCTCCCACCCTCGCCCAGCTCTGTTTAAGAGCGCAGACCCGAAACCCGAGCCATTCACTGCCTGCCAGCAGGCAGCGGGCTACGTCGCGTCCCGCACGGGGAGGATGGGCCAGGCCGCTCTGTCCTTCCCTCACCTGGCTTGGCCGGTTTAGGGGGCGGCTTGGACATGGCTGGAGCCGGACGGGGGAGCGGCGCGACGGCGATCGGCTGCCCGGGCGCGAGCTCGCGGCGAGAAGCGGCGGTGCGAACACCGGCAGTCTCGGGGCAGTGCACGGCACGGCGGAGCACGGCACGGCACGGCACGGCACGGCAAGGCAGGGCAGGGCAGGGCAGCGACAGGAGCCGGGACGAAGGGCGGGTCCCCGGCGGGTCCCTCCGCCCCCGCGGCCGCGGGCGCTGCCCCGGGCGCGGGCTGCACGCGGCCAATCAGCGCGCGCGTCGTGGGACGAGGCCCCGCCGCTTCCCTGTCCGCTCTCCGCCCGGCCGCAGGCACCGCCCAGGCGGCGGGGCCGGGGCCGGGGCCGGGGCCGGGGCCAGCACTGGGCGGCCCGAGGGGCGGGGGCGGCCCCGGGGGCTGCGAGGGCGCTGCTGCCGGGAAGTCGGCCGAGGCTTCCTCGTGTGCGCGGGGCTGGCCCGCCCCGGCGGTGGGCGCTCCCCGGACTGCTCGGTCGGTCACGGGACGGAGGAGGCGGGCGCTCCGCCTGCGCTGAGCCTTGCTGCCAGCAGGATCTGCTCCTGGCTCCTCGCGGCGTGGTTGGAGTTAAGTGCGAACTCCGGAGGCGCCGAAGTGTTGGAGGCGCGGCCGGTGGAGGCGCGGCCGGGAAGCTCCGCCGGCCCCGTTGTGCGGGCTCGTGCCTGTGAGAGACGTTCCCGGTCCGGGCCCGGTGCGCCTTCGGGTGTCCCCGTACGTGGGAGCTTTGCCGCGGTATGCCCTTAAAAATGGGGTGACAGCAATGATGTGCTAGCGTTGTTACGGGTTTGTGCTCTATTTTAAGAGCCAAACTGACTCAAGGCAGAGTAGTTTAGGATTTCTGTGTTGCAGCATTTGTGACAATTTGCTTTTGAAATTTGTTTTAGATATTACTCAGTGGGGCAGAAGAGTTGGTGTGGTTTTTAATGATGATATTTTTGCGGTAAACTGGGATTAACTTGCATATAGACAATGACATAAATTAAAGTCCAAAGGTGATCGTGTTAGTCGGGTTTGTTGCTTAACATCCTTTGTGGGACAAAGGGTAATTCTCTGCAACACAAACCTTACTGATGATTTTTAGAAAAGAGCTTTTTTATCTTATTTTTAAAGTAGCCTGAATAACATCACTTCTTAAGAACAAATTATCTGTCTTCCCTCTTTGCATTGCCAGTACTGTAAGCATTCAATGCATCACTGAATTTGGAAATTATATTATGTTTTAGAAAACCAACTATATTATAAAACCAATGTGTACTTACTTTGAAAACTCACAAGTGCCAACTACTGCAGATAAGCAACACCATTGCAAAGCAATGGTTGTCATAAGGGTGATGGCTTGGACTAGTCAATGTGTCTTACGTTGTTTTTCTTTCAACATAACCATACATTAAAAAGAATGCAAAGATCATATCATAGACATGTGAAACAGTGGAACTTCGTTGCACCAAATGCAAGAGGATGTTATTGTTTCAGGCTCCACATGTGCCTAAAGCTTACTTTCACAGAAACAGTGTGGTTTTGTTTTCATATTGATGCCCTGTAACAGTTTTGTCTAGTATGCTACAGGTACTTGTTTGTCGAAGGCAGGGAGAGTTTTACCTGCTCAGTCCTTTCAGATCTTAGGTGTCATAGTTCTTAACCTTCCTAAGTGTGACCTAGGAGGAAAGAGCAAAAGGGGTGAAAAAAGGGTGTCTTTGCAGAGCTGTTTTTCAGCTGCAGAATTTTTCCAGGATAGTTCACTATGTACTCTGCAAACACCCATTCCAGAAGAAAGTTCAAGGGAAAGAGCTGGGACAAGGCAGAATTGTGTCTCCTGGCAGCTCTGGCTACTGAAGATGTTCAGGCAGTGAGAGACTCAGAGTTGGTGGGATATTGTGGCAGCAGCAGGGATATGGTGGACAAATTAACCCTTAGAGGTTACTCTTAGATCTTTTCAGGGGCTACCTAGTCCTTCTCAATACTGAGTTAGCTAGGATGTCTTAAACTGCCCTTACAGTAGTTTTAATCTTCCAGATTAATCTGTGGTGGAGCAGAGGGAGGAGGATTTGTATGGTCTTTGTTGTTAATGCCCTCAGAAAGAGAGCGGTGAATTACACAGTGGATATTGCATTACTGAGACCAGGTTCATAAAAAAGAGTATGTTCAAAAATTCTTTTATCTTAATGAAATTTTAAAACATCTTTCTCCTCAGCATGCCACTTGTTTCTTTCTTAATGATTTTGTTTGTTTTGCCACAACAGCTTCTGTTTACTTAGTCTTTTTTATATTGCTAATGCTTGAACTGGTGATTGTGCTTTTCTTTAGGAACTTGTATGATATTAATGTCATTAGAACCGAGACTCCCAGAGTTCCTTTCAAATTATTAAAATACTGTCAAAAATAAAGTACAATGGAATTTATGATGGGGCGTATATATTGCAGGTTTTTTGTTAGCATTAGAACAAGCAGCTGAGGTTCTGACTGTCCCTTTGCAAAAAGAAAAATGATGGACAACAGGACAGAAAATAAATGATATGTATAATTGGTATTTCTTAATACCATAGTTGCCTTCTTGTTCCTGAATTAAGATTTTTCACTGGCTATTGTTTTTGGCAGTAAAACGGAAGAACTGAGGAGAAGACGAACTATGAAAGTATTGGTTATTGGCCTTGGGGGGTAAGTTATGCAAAATTAAATTTCCTTCACAGCTTAAGACATGTTTGCTTCTCAGAATGATGTGATATAATTACTATTTCTGAATCCATATTGTTTTGAAACTGGATTACAAATGCAACGTATAATTGTATAGTTTAATAGCATGTAACTCTTAAATTGTTCTGTGTCTGTTGAAGACCTCAGTTGCAGGTAGCATCTTTCTTGGCACTGCTTGATTTACTGTACTGATTGTTGAAAACTGTTGTAACATGCCAGAAAATTTCTGGAGATGAAGGATATTTTATGTAACTAAAATTTGGGGGAAACTGTATTGTTTATTTCTACCTACATAGAAATGTATGTTTGAGCTTGTACATATGTTTAAAAGATTAGTTTTTGCCTTGGTGAACTTTTTACAATGTTTTCTAACAGTGTAACAAATGGAGGGAAAACAACACTAGCAGAAAAACTTAAGAATATGCTTCCCAACTGTGATATAATCTCTCAAGATGACTTCTTTAAGGTAATAGTTTTAATAGAAAAACCTCATAGGTAAAAGTAGGCTTGAGTAGATTTCAATTATTTTTCACTTCTCCTCTTGATGAACATTTAAAATTGGTGCTGCTTAAAGTAATGTTAATTTCAAAATAATCATAAAATGAGCACTGGGGCAATTGAAATTTAAGTGGCCAAACCACTGAATATACTCAGCCAAAAGAAGTTTCCTGCCTTCTTTGCCACTCTTTTAAAATAAGGCGTGGGTGTATGAGGGATGCATTTTTCAATATCCTTTGTGCTAATGAGTTTAATGATACTATCTTAAGCCTACACCCGTACAACAACAAGTAGTTCTTTGTCTCCCCAGTTAAAACAGAAAAACAGCTTGTGTGCGTATGTTGGGGATGTTAGTTAAAGAGGGTGAAGGAGCTCTTATTTCTCAATAAAGCTCTAATGAACTTAAGTCATATGATTTGGAGTGTTTGTTGTTCTAGATTAAATAAAGTTTTTGTAGTGTGTTTTAACAGTTGTTTACATCAGTTTATGTTGAAGATAAATTCAACTAATTGGTTAAAAAAGCATATAACCCTTTTGTTTATTACCAGAGTGTATATTTCTCAGCATGGTCATAAAAGCAACCTTGAAAAAATTAATTTTTTTTCCTCTTCAGCCAGAGTCTGAAGTAGAAACAGATGAACGTGGATTTAAGCTATATGATGGTCAGTAACTCTGATGCACTGCCTTTGAACATTGTCTTGAATTTGTTGTGCTGAGCTTCAACACTTCTTCCACTCCATCCCCTCGCCTCTCCCCTTCCAAGAAGGCAGTAAACAAGTGGTTGTTTCAGAGCAATCCTTCTCTTAGTTTCATTCAGCTCACTGAGATATTTAAGAAAACTTGCTTAACTAGTAAATTGCTCAAGTTAGTGCCTGCCTTTCCTTTTCTCTTTTGAATCTTTTCCTCTGTTTCTTCACTTGTGTCTGGTTTAGTAGCAAGTGGTACTGTTCAGTTAGAAGTCTTGGCTTGCAGTACTGGCATAAGCTTAATCTCAGTGCTTGGTAAGGCCCTTTTTTTTTCACTTTTGCTAGTGAACTCATGGGATATCACTGTTAGGTTTTCCAAGTCAGTCAAAACTTGCGTCTATCCTGACACCTGTATTTCATGTCAGATCTCACATAAAGAACATATATTTTTAAGTTCATGATTAATGCTGGCACAATTTGTTCTTAGAGATGTCTAGATCCAGATCCACTTTAGGCCAGTGTTTTGCCTCAGGTCATATCTGCTTGTAAACAGTTGCTTGGTTAGTTGCTAATCTCTGTTGATACTTCATGATCACAAAATGTACTGCTGAGAGTATTGGTCAGACCCTTCAGCTGTACCTGAAAACTGGTGATTTCCAGCTATGCAGTCTTTGGTTCAACTTCAAGACTTCATGTAAATGGAATGTGAAACTGGAGGGATAAAATAAATGGACTTTCTTAATCAAATATCCAGGTTTAATGCTGCTCTTAAAAGACCTTTAAAAATGTATTTGCTGTTATGGTATCTTAAAGCTGCCTTATTTCTACCTTCCAGTACTTGCTCAATATATTCTTGTGTGTCTACAGACAAAAACAGGTGTTATGTTGTGTTGTACATTTGCTTTGTACACCATGCTCCTTTAAGTCTCTCTATGCCTACCTAATGAACCTTACAAAAACCCAAAGCAAAAAACGTTGAATGTTCACTCCCCTCTCTACAATTGACAGAAGGGTGAAGGTCTCAGGGTTAGTAAATTTTTACAAGTTTGTGGAAGCAGAGAGCAGTCCCTGGAGTTTCTGTCATGAAGTGAAATGCTGTGAATTCAGTTCAGACAATATTAGATGTCATAAAGTTTGGAGAGACTACATTCAACATAAATACCTCAGTCCTGGTGCAGACTTTGATTTCAGGAAATCATCAGTAGCAAACACAGAACTATGGATATAATCTTTGGGGTAATCCTGTTCCTGTTCATTTAAATTTGTATGTAGATTATTTGATTCTTACTGATTAACATAGGGGTATTTAAGGGTTCTTTTTTTTTTTTCTTTTATTCTTTTTTTTTAAGGGATATTTAACTTTGTTTTCATCTAGTACTTGATGCCCTCTATATGGATGAAATGGTGGCAAGTATTCGCAATTGGATGAAAAGGCCAACAAGCTCAGGTGTTATGACAGAAGAAGCACAGAATACATGTGACAATCTGAAAAATGTTTATATTTTGATTGTTGAAGGCTTTCTCCTTTACAATCATGAGTAAGCAGTAATATGTAATCTGGTAAATTAAAAGCTACCCTAAAATGGAAGAAGGAACTAAATATATTATTATCTTAGGCCACTTAATGAACTATGGAATAGAAGATATTTTTTGACCCTTCCTTACGAAGAGTGCAAAAGGAGAAGGAGGTAAGATTATTTATTGACTTACTGTTTAAAGTGTCATTGCACCCCCTGAAGTCGTCCTTTTGTTCTATTCTTGAAATTTAAGATCATCTATCCTCTGTTTGTTAGTTTGAGGTTTATTTGGTTTGGTTTTTATTTTAGAGTACATGGTATTAAAGTATTAAGTGCTTTACAAACACTAAAAAGAGAACTTGTTGTCCTGATAAATTATTTACTGATGGCATATTTGAGTAAAACCATGTTTAAAATGAGAAATGCTTAAAAAAATACTAAGCACTCTTATACTTGGTTAAATACAATTAATTTATGATTATTCTTAGAGTAACGATGTTAATGTGTGGGTTTGAAGTTCATGTATGGGTTTAGTGTATGGTTTTGTTTAGGCTGTCCTTTAATTTTACTGTGGGCCAGAACTAGGTTATTAAGCCAGTGTCTGACTTGCCTCTAAATTTGGAGCAATACTGTGTGCTTGGAATAGTATATGTGCACATATTCAGAATCTGTTGGCTGAATGAAGAAGTCTTCAATTCAATTCGCTTTGGTTGATATCACTTTCTTGGTTTCTCACTAGACACGCCAAAGACTTTAGTGTCCAGAATGGAAGAGTCTAGACTAAACAACTAGTCATTTAAACTTTGAGAAACCTGTATACCTAATAAAAAGAGAAAATGTAGCTTTTTTTGGTAATAGTGTCAATACAGTTTAATTTATCTGTAATACCTTTTACAATTAAAACGCCCAAACTTTGACCTTATCCTAAATGCGGTTTGATTGGCAGAAATAGATAAGATAGCAGAAGACAGCAGTTCATATCACAGGTTGAATTAAAACATAGGAGCCTCCTTGCCTCCCAAAAAATACAGCCAGTCTTTCTTTTTTTGTTTTGAATAAAAGCTATTTTTAACCAGCTGACACTAGGGGAAAATATAAAACTTATATGGGAACACATATGTATTTTTGTCTAGCACCAGAGTCTATCAGCCAGCAGATACACCAGGGTACTTCGATGGACACGTGTGGCCTATGTATTTGAAATATAAAAGTGAATTGGAAGAGAATGCAAGTATGCAAGTTGGTATGGTATCCTTAATTTTAAACTTATAAAATGCTTAAGTGTAGCACTTGTACAGTTTTTGTCGAATTGTGGGATTTTTAAAATGGGACAAAATTTTCTTTAAGATTTTTTTTTTCCACTTAGTAGGTTTTGATGTTTCTGTTGGTTTATATTCCAAGCCTATAGGGATTTTGTTTTTTTTATTTACTAAAGAAAATTAGGAAGTTAAAAAATAGAAATGTTCTGATCACTAATTAAGTCCACTTAACAAGATCACTTGTTAAGGTAACACACGTATATCTAAATAGGAAGCTTCTGAGATGATAGCTGATGCACTGGCAGAGTTCTTCACAACAAAACTGAAATCCTGATGAAGTCTTGTAATAAACTGAAGATACTTTCTAGGTGCTGACTGTCTGCACTACAGTCACCAGTTTTGCATGAGAAGTGTCAAAGCTGGGCCAGCTGTTGGGGCAGTCCCACAAGTTTTTGTGATGTTCACACTTACAGCTCTTGGACTACCTGCTTCTGGAGTGGGGGCCAGAGGGAAGGGAAGTTGGGTGGCTGCTTCATCATCAGCTTCATCACAATGCTTCTTGCTGTGCAGTCAGAATAAGAACTGCCGTGCTCTTCTAGAACTTGCTCAAACACTGAAACTGAGGAACTTGAAATTATCTACTGTGCAGTAACCTTTTTGCCAAATTATTCTATTGTTCCACTGTCCTCACGTAATTACCATTATGCTTATGGAGACTTTTGTACCACAAAAGGTTGTATATGAATTATTAAGCAGAATACATTTCCATTATGCTGGGGTTTTTAACATGTAAAACAAGTTTGCTGAAGAGGAAAAGGGGAGGTGCTGTTCTTGGATTTTGTTTTTTTCTTCTCTTCTGATGGCATCTGTAGGAATACAGAAAACTTTACCAATTGCCATTAAATATAGTTGGCATAGAACTCATGAACGCTTCTTCTTTTTTCTTCCTCAGATTATTTGGATGGAACAAAATCCCAAGAGGAGCTTTTATCCTACGTGTATAGTGATATAGTACAGGAATTAAACAAGCTGAGGGAAGAAAGTTAAGTCATGTTACTGGAAATTGAATCTCTGTATCCCATTCCATGCTAACAAGAAGCTAATACATTAATTTGAAAATACTGCAAGAATTATCTAGATCTATATTTCTTTTATGTGCTACAGCACCATGTTTGCTCATTACTCTGAGTCAATTTCTGTTAAAACTGTGACCATTCCTGGAAATGGAATGTTCTAAGATCATAGTTGAATCCACTGCTACTTATTGATAAAAAAATAATAAAAAATGGGGAAGAGAAGGAATATGGGATAAAGTATCAATGAAAACAACTGTGTTCAATATAAACTGATAAATATATTACTTTCTAATATAAAGTGATGTCACTTGCAAACACTGCAGGTTAGATATGTCCTTTGTATTTATTTTAAATCAGCAGGTCACAGCATGATAAGGTAGAAAGCCTGGGTTCCATTTGATATGAATTGAAAACACCAAGACTGTCATACATGGCAAGCCAACCAACTGAGCAAATTCTCTGTGTATGACCATAATTCTACTTCATATAACACAAGAGGTTTTGTAAGTAATTATTAACTCTCTCTCGGGTATGGAGACAGAGACTCCATTTAGGGGTATGAACAGTGCATTCCTTAAAATTCCTTTAATCAGACCTTTTTTGGCTGAGCTTTAAATCTGATTGAATGTATACATTTTAAAGAACATGAAGATTTTTGTACAGCAAACTAAACCATAAAGATGCACTTCTGTTGGATTAATAAGCCTATCTGAACATGGATGATTGCAATTTGAAATTATCATATAGGAATGACAGTGATTGCCTCTAATACTTTTAGGAGCTTAGTATCACTGATAAACATGCTTAGAGGAGCTAGCTGTGTAAGTTTATGTAAGTTGTTATGCTGCTTATTCAGTAACTGATTGAATACATCACACCTAAACTTATTTAGACTTGCTAAATACCTCTCTCTGATGTTTGCACAATAATTTTTGTGTTGTGTATTGTTTAGAGCAGTTGGGAATAGATGTAGAGAAAACGAAAACAAACCTGAAGAAGACTCAGATTGTTGGAAAAAGATGGGGAAATAAGATGTAGAGAATGGAGATGCATCATTAACAAGATACAGTATATATATTTTGCAGAGATTGATTGGAATGGCACAGACAACTAGACAATAAATCCATGCTTCAGGGAGGAAGAAATTATTGTTATTAATATTTGTAACTCACGTTGAAAGTGAAATGAAACTGAAATGTTGTGAATGAAAACAGGAATGCTAAACAAATGTGAAAGCTTTGTTATAGAATTTGTGTATATATATTTACACAAACTAGGAAACTGGTAAATTGGATCATATTTTATTGCTGTATAAGTAATGTCTTACCTCTTATATTTTCTAGACAATATGTTACATTTTTATCAGCCAGAATAAAACTGCAGACATGGAAAGCAAAAGATGGATTATATTACTTGATATGTGACAGCTGAACTGGTCAGTACTACTACATGTAGTACTTTATTGTAAAAGTACTAAATCTATGTATAATAAAAAGATGGTATCAGATTATGGCTGTGTTTAGCTGTGTTAAAACAAAGTGCTTTCAAATATAATTTTGTATTATTGCACTAATTGTATTTTGCACTAAAAAGACTTCATATTGCATTTGCTCATATGCTCTGATGGACTGTCTGGCTTTAAACTGTATTTTTGTTTTTATTTCTCTTTGGAAAGGGTACAGTTGCAAGAAATTAGCTAATGCATGGAATGGTTGTGGTGGGCTGACCTTAACTAGCCACCAAAACTGCTCTCTTACTTCCCCCTCCTCAACAGAAGAGGGGGGAAAAAATGCAAGGATTTGCATCTTGACTCATGCGTTGAGATAAAGACAGGAAGATCACTCAACGGTTACTCACATACAGTCAAAACAGACATGGTTTGGGAAATTATTTTAATTTGCTACCAATAAAATCATAAATAATGAGAATTAAGAACAGATCATAACACACATTTCCCCCACCCCTCCCTTCTTCCTGGTCTTGACTTCCCACACAAATTCTCTTCCTGTCTCCCACCAGCACAGGGGGATGGGGATTGTGTTGCTCCTTTCTCTTCAGCCTTCTGCTGCTCCAGAGGGGGGTCCCTCCCACAGGGACAGCCTTCCGCTTCTACCTGCTCTGCATGGTGATTCAGGAAAGGGAGTGGAATGAAAAATGGTACCTGACTTTATTCTGAAGTAGTCCTACATTGGTGCTATGGCAAGGAGCTCAGTTTTGTCAGATCCTCGTAAAGGGAAAAATGGTAGATGAACTTCAATACAGATCTATGCATTTGTGGTGTAAATCATTATTGGAATATGCATGGTACTAAACCTGTGCTTCAGCAACTTGTAATAAGAGTTTAGGGCATAGACCTTTCACAGTTCTCCTGTAACCATGCCACAGTTTGGAGCTGCATTTTTTTTTCAATTTTTTTTTTTTTTTTCAAACAAAACAGGTGGTCTTACTTGGCTTCTGCGTAAGACCAGTGGACCCATGTTTTCAGAGCTTAGCAGCTCTGGTTTCTACATTTAGAGGGAGTCCACAGTGGAGTTACAAGAAGGACAACTATGTGTCAAGGGACTAGAGAAACTGCTTTGCGAGGAGAGATTAAAAATGGTGGGAACACTCACTGTGGAGTGGAGAAGACCAAGGGGATAGTGGGCCATGGTTTACAACATCTTGAAAGCTGTGAGTCAGGTGGATGCGGAACTAGTATTCACCAAATTTTACAAATACTAGTCAAATATTAGCCAAAAGTGGCAGACAGTACGAGCAAGTTCAAAAGGGATCCAGAAGATTCATTGACACTTCGCCCCCATGAGAAGCAGTAAAAGAAGCAAACAGTCCTATGTCATGGATGGTCTATAGAAACTGACCGGGCTCACCTGACTAAATGATGTGCTTTTGCCAGTTGCTGCAGCAACTCAGCCACAAAAGATAATGAACTCTTCTGAGTCTGTTTGATAGATAAAATATTTCAGGTATTTCATTGTAACAGCTTACAGAGTTGATCTAGAACTTGGCATGTTGGCAGATGTTTTTGGATTGAAGGTGGTACAGCCCTTGACAGAAAAAAGCTTTTTTTTTTTTTTTTTTTTTCCCTAGTTAGCTCTTGTTGAATGCCTTTTGATTGCCAGGGCTGTGCTAGCTGTGAAGTGGGTGGGGAGAGCTGCATGACAGAAGCCTGTGGTTCTTTAGGGATGAATAGGTAACTTTCTGGAAGTGGTGTAATCTGCTGGTGGCAATTTCAGGCAGTCACAGCTGAAAGAATGCTTTGCTAAGTGTCTAGCATATATTCAGAAATGTGGAGTGATAGAGCTGGTGGTGTTCTATAAAAGGCAAATGGCTTTTCTATGAGGACCGAAATACAAATATATTATTAGTTTGATATTTAGGTGATTTTCTGATGTTAAAATAACAGAACATGACAAATCATAAGCATTAATGTAGTAGGAACAAACCTTTTATCTCTCAGAGCTTATGCTATCCACTCTAACATTAAAAGTCTAAAAGCTGAATTTCTTGTTTAGACTATGTATCATTGATTCAGATATTGGTTTTGTCACACAAGGTGTTTGTTTACATTTTTTATTTTACATACCCACTTGGGAACAATGACTCTTCTGCCCATCAAGCTGGGTGTGTCTTTGGTTTCTCTCTGGCATTGCCACTGAACATAGTGTCCAGTGTTCACTGCATGATCAGTTATTGTCAAGAGAGCAGGAGCAGCATGAGAGTAAAGTGCTTATTTTAGGAAGCTGATGCTCCTGTTTCCCCTGTTAGTGTGCTAAAAACCTTTCCTATTCCTGTTGCATTACTTGTTACTAAATGACTGCTCCTGTCTTTAGATAGATAGAAAGTATGGTAGTGCTCTTCAGCTTTTGAGAGTGAGGGGACGGGCCCTTACAAATGAGGTAGTCTTGTATCAGCCATATCTTCTAAAAGAACAGTGGAAAGGTGTATGGTGTGACTTGCTGAATGACTTGGTGTCTGCACCTAGTCAAATTTTGTCAGGTGGAGGAGGATCATCATGCCTATCATCCAGGCCAAAGTCTGTTGTTGGGGGGGAAATCTAGTATTTAGTGACTCATGTATGGTTAGACACTTCGCTTTTCCCTCCCCACGATTGGACCTTGCCCATCTTCCCAGGAAAAATCATCCGTCTTGAGTGGTTCACAGTGTGAAGTAGTGCCTCTTGTCAGCGCAGCGACCTGCTGCCCCGGCTGCCTGCCAGCAGGGCTGGATGTATACCTGACAGCCTGGAGCAGGCAGCCGGGCCGAAGAGTCGGGCTTTGAGTGCTGAGCCGGTACTGCAAGTGCCCGGGTACCCCCGAGGAGGCCGGCATCCTTCCCCGGTACTCCCGAGGTGCTTCAGCGCCACTGCCGCCGTTGCGTGGCCCCGCCGTGCCGCTTCACACGGCGGGGACGGGCACCATGCCACGGATAGTGTCTCCTGTGACACCAACCGGCTGGGAAGCGCGGAGCACCCTGCCAGCGCTCTGCTCCCCATCCCTGTGACACCAGCTCGGGTGTGCGGACAGGACACTGCTCCCAATCCCTGTGACTCCGGTTCCGGAGCGCGGATCTCCGTCTGCCGGGTGCGCGTGCCCAGCCGCGGCCCTTCTCCCGTCTCACGATACGCTCTTGCGCAGGGCCGGCGGCGCGCGCCGGAAGGGCGGCGTTGCGCGTGCGCGCCGGCCGTGTCCGCGGGCGCAGGAGGGCGCGGGGGATGTCGGCCACGTGCGCCGTATCCCGGAAAGCGCCGCTGCCAAGGCCGCGTCCCCAGGGGGAGAGGGAGCCGCCTGCCAAGGTGATGCGCAGGGGGCTGCGGCGAGGCCGCGAGGAGGAGCGGGAGCAGCTGCCGTGTCCGGGAGAGAGCGCGAGCGGCATGGGCGCGGAGGCCGAGCCGGAGCGGGCGGCACCGCTGAGCGACGAGCGGCGGAGGCGGCAGCCTCTGGAGCCGAGGGCGCTGAGCAGGACGTCGGCCAGGGCGGTGGAGGAGGAGGAGCGGCTGGAGCGGGAACATTTTCGGCGGATCATCAACGCTTTCCGATATTACGGGTAATTGAGGCCTGCCCCCTGGGCTTGGGGCCCTGCGGGGGTCCCTCCGCTGGCCGAGCGGCCTCCGCAGCGTTCGCCGGCGCCGCGCGGCCCCCGGGCCAGGGCGCGCTTCCTGCGCGTCATGCGGCCGGCCCCGGTCTGCGCTCCAGGCGCTGCGCTCGTGGCGGGCTGCGGAGCCTCGAGTCGGTGGAGGGGTTCTGTACCGCTTTCCTTTCGGGATACCCGCTAATTCAATTCGTAAGCCTAAAAGAAAGCGTCAAACCTGAAAAGGGTGTCTTGAGGTCTCTGAGGAGGTAGGATGCTCTTAAGATTCTTCCGCCCTGAAAACAATAAAGCCTTCGATACAATAGTATTTCCTGCTGGCAAAGAAGCGCAAAATGTTGTTTCGATTATGGGTGGGAGTTCTTGAAAGACATTTTACTTTGCAGAGGAGATAAAACCTATTGCTAGGGATAATGGATACCGTTTTTAATAGCGTCCATTGGATCAGAGGAGGATTTGCTGGCTCCGTAGGAATGAGCCAGCAGTGTTGGGGACACCTAGTTTGAGGACTGAATCCGTTTAGAAGACGAGGAAGCAAGTGACTCACATTGCAAGATAGTGAAGCCTGGCTGGAAAGATCCAGTCCTCGTCAGTGTTTTGGTAAACCGTGTCCTGTTTCTAGGTTTGGAAAGCAGGTTTGTACTCTAGCTAACGAAGCCCACATAAGTTTCGTTTGTCTATCAGGACAAGTGTTTGAGCAGGAGGTTGGTCTGAATGACTGTTCAGTGTCGCTTCCAGTCATTCAGTTTGGACATATAATGCAGTTCTGGCCAGTAATTTATTTGTATTAGTGGTATAATTGTACCTTCCGGCCTCAGAAGGTGGGAGTATCTTTCTCACCCTTCTGCTGAACTGTGGCTTTGGGTTGCTTTTGAATGCTTGTTTTGGTGAAAACAAAAGAAAAGGATGTGACTCAAATTTCCAGTACAGATTTCCAATCCAATAAAATTGCCTCTGTCTCAAAGAAATAATTAGAAATTCAGGTGAAATTACATATCTTGGTACTTAATAAATAGAATTTTTGTTTACTCATATGGATATTTCTAGTTAACTTGGTAACGTGTATGAATAAGACAGTAACACACTTTCAGATGAGTCTAGATCTTGTTCTTGTCTTCCAGACATAAACAGAGATAACTTTGTTATTTGTAGTTTTTCTGATTTCAGTGAATTATTCGTTCTGCTAGATGGTTGTAATTTAGCATAAAAGGGTGGAGAATTAAGTTCAAAGGCTTTTTTTTTTTTCTGATTAAACTTTCAGGAAAATGTTGTTGAGCTAAGCTGATGTGCTTTATGTAGAACATCAGTTTATTTTTTCTCTTGTTTCTTTTCTGTTTCTTGTCCTTGAATGTAATTTTAAACCCGTGTAGCTATTGCAGTGAACAAGACCTTCTCAGTAACACTTGAACGAGATATTACCTGGTCAGATTTCCAAAATGAGGTTGTAACTAAAATGTCAGCAATTGCAGCTGTCTCTCATAATGGCTAGTTTTTTCAGCTTTGTGCTGCTGTATGCTGACACAAGACTTGGGAAGCTTCAGTATGACTTGACCAGCTAAAATCATTTGATGGTCAAAAGGGTCAGTATCTCTTATTGAATTCTCTGTTGTGAGTCATCATGACTGTGCTTAGTAACTATACATCTGTCAGTTTAGACAGAAATCAGATATAGCAAAATCTCTAAAGAGTCACCATTTTTATGAATCTTTTATCTTGGAAGTGGAAAATTATTTTTAGCTTGCATCAGTCACATGATCATGTTCACAGTACTTATGAGGAATATGCTGTTAAAAGAAGGTAGCTTAGTATCTTAGTTTGGCTGCTAGAGCTCTAGTATGGTATCTAGTATTAAACAGCAATGTGTTAAGTAGAGTGGTAATGTAGAACTAGAGCTTAAAAAATGTTTGCCTAAAAAATTATAGAAAACTTGTTGTCTGGTAAGGGACTACAAAGTCTGGTCACTTTTTGTGTGTTAAAAAATGAATTACTGTAATTGGAACAACTTATAGTGAATTATTTTCATGTGCCTATATTGTTTCTAAATATTTAAAACTTTTGCTTTTTAGAACGAATATGCATGAACGAGTGAACAGAACAGAGAGGCAGTTTAAGTCTCTCCCAGCTAACCAACAGAATCTTCTTCCTCAATTTCTTCCTCACCTTGACAAGATTCGGAAGTGCATTGATCATAATCAAGAAGTACTGCAAACCATTGTGAATGACTGTGTTCACATGTTTGAAAATAAGGAATATGGAGAAGATGTATGTTAAAATGGACTTTTTCTTGCTCCAAAATGAAATTCTGTGTGCTTGGGATTTTCTGCATTTGTTTTTAATACCTCAAACCTCCAACTTTCTTTTCTTTTGCCATCCTTGTTTTATTGTTTCCTGTTTGCTCACACTTTTCTCACTCTTGTCTTTCACATTTGCAGAGCTGATGCTTAATGAAGCTGTTCATTGTTAGTTCTCTTAGTTACACTTACGAAAACTAACTGTGAGTCTGGCAACTAATGGTTTTCACTCCAGAGTTCTAGCTTTAAACTGGTTACATTTTATTTTTTCTGTTAACTATACAGAATTTAAGTGATACTGTCTGTCTTGCTGTATGTTCTTATATGTTACAACTTTGCAAATTGGTTGCAATTCTAGATTGCAAGTATTTTTACTGTTATTTGTAAACACATTTTTACTACTCGATGTACTTTATATAAAAAAGAATGATATCAAGACTTAAAGGACTGACAGAGATGGAAACTGAAACTCCTTGGATACAGGCAAGATACCGTAATGCTCTAATGTAAGCTTCTCAGTTTTGCCTTATCAGTATCTAAAGGGATCCTTTTTTCAGGGTAAGCAGTTCAGCCTCTGCACTGGCTAAGCCCTGATCTTTTCCTGAATAAGGACTGCCAGTAGTGCTATGCTATGTATTGTTCTTTTTCATGTGGAAACTGGACTTTTGAATGCCAAAGCAAGGCCAGCAAACTCAATTTCTTTAGGACATTAAGGTGGATTTAAGTCCAGGTCCCAGGAGTGAAAGGGAAGTGCTTTGTCACCTGATACTCCCAGCAGTTCTTGCAGCATGGCTTTTTTTCTCTTCATAATTTGCTTTCCCCCCCGCAAGACACCAGATACTTGGTATGTTTTCTGCTAATTCTTTTTTTCTCTCCACTTTATTTAGGGAGGTGGGAAGATAACACCAGCTTCAACATTTGACATGGATAAATTAAAGTCCACGTTGAAGCAATTTGTGAGAGACTGGAGTGAAGAGGGAAAGTCTGAGAGGGATTCCTGCTATCAGCCAATTATTAATGAAATTATAAAGAACTTTCCAAAAGAAAGATGGTAATAATGTCTTAAAACTTACATTTATGTGGACTTACACTGTTGCACAAATCTTAAACAGTTTATGGAGTAATGAAAAGCTTGTTTCAAAAATAGAGAATTTTTTATGTACTCAGTGGAATTTATTTTTCAATCAAGAAAGATTTCATTTCTAATACAAGATGTTGGAAAAGAGTATAATCATAAGCCTCATAAAGTAATACCAGGTAAACCAGTAATATTTTTTTTGTTGTTCTGCAGCTGGGTGTAACAATATATGTAAACATTTTAAGTAAGAGATATCAGAAAGTTAACTCAGTTGTGCTTAATGGGGTAACGTTTGCAGATTCTCAGAGGGTGTCTGCTGCAGGTGGAAGGAAGGATTCCATGACAGCAGGTGGTAAGGCTTTGGCTTTTCGTTATGGAAGCAAGGAGGAAGACTTAACCTCTAATGCAGTTGCACTTAATTGCTCTAAGAATTTACTCTGAAAATAGTCAATTCTAACCATAGTTTCAGACAGCTGATCTAAGACAATTCTTAAAAAAGCTTAGTTGCACATGTGAGGGTAATTTTGTAAGTTTTGGCTTGTTAACAGTGCCAAAATAGCCATTGATGCAGGGGTTTTGGGTAATTTAGGAAGAAGCATACCAGTAAAGTCTCAGAAGGTTGTAGTGCTATAAGAATCCCATGTTTATTTGGTTCTGTCAATTAATCAAACCAGATTCTGCAGTCTTACAGTAGGAATATTTAAGAATTTTTATTCATAAAGGTAACAGGTCACCACTTAGGTTGGATATAGCAGGGCATTACTGTGTTGTTTTTTTCTCTCTCAGTAATTGTTAATAATGCTCTTGTGCAAATTTGAAAAGTCTCTTCCACTAGCCATTGTTTAGTTTCATTAGTAAAAGACCGTTTGTAGTGGGAAAACATGGAATGTATATGGTTTCTGTTTTGCCTTGAACTGACTTACCTAAAGATACATACACCTTTAAAAATATTTTATCTGCAAGCGAGCCTTCTGCAATTTTTCTAGTGTTAATAGTGCCCTACATAAGATAAAAAATGAATTAAATACTGCAGGTATACCTCTGATGTATACGTCTGTAGGAAAACTTATGGTTAGTTCTGCAGGAATTTATATTATCACTGTGGAGCTGTTGTAGCGCTTAGGTAAAACCTTTTCTCTATTCACGTCTTGTTAGCTGCTATGTTCAGGTCACTCATTTTTCCTGGTGACCAAAGGCTCTCCTGGCTAGATGTATTCTTTGGGAGTAAGAAACAGTCATGTATTATCAAGCTTAACTGGCAGTGCCACTTTACCCTTGTGCAAGAAGTAACTTCCCTGGCAGAGTTTGCTAGCTGGTCAGTCTGTATTTTTTATACAAAGTTTATACAAACTCTTCACTCTCCAGTGGTAGGACCTGAGGGAGTGAGGTTTATGTTAGATGTCAGGAAAACATCTTCATCGGGAGGATGGTTGTGCACTGGAACAGGCGCTTCAGGGAGGTAATCACAGCACCAAGCCTGTCTGAGTTCCAGAAGTGTTTGGTCAATGCTCTTGCGCATGTGGTGTGACTCTTGGAGTGTTCTGCATAGGGCCGGGAGCTGGGCTGTGTTACTCTGACAGGTCTGTTCTAGCTCGGCATATTCTCTGAATCGGTGATTTTGGAGTGGAGAAGTTGTTTCAGTTTGAAGGGATTGACGGAGCCTGAACTGACCACAGTGAGTTATTCTATCTGTTGTTTACAGTGGGGGAGGACTGAACATGGATTCTGTGTGAAAGAAAACAGCCTGTAGGTGAACCTCAGAATGCAGCTTTGCATTGCTTTCCTTCTGTAGCACAGAGCACTAAAAGGATGAAGTAAAACCGCTAGAAAAAATGTGCACTGGGTGATGAAAATTACTTTTTCTAAATGTATTTTGTGTTGAAAACGATAAATATTTTAAATTTGTAACTGTCAGTGCCAGTCACTATTTACTTGGTAAAAGGAATTGCAGTACTCATCAAATTTGCAATACTCAATGGAATAGTACATTCAGCTTCTGGTTAACATAATTTGTTGGTGTTACTAATTCCATACATTGGAATAATGAGAAAATGGAGTTTAAATTTTTGAAACTACTCAAGTATATTTCACTTCATGCATGCATACCTTGTAGCGTTGCAGTTTGTAAGATTGACATCTGGGTTCAGTTGGTATGTAAACAGTGGGAAAAGCAGTGAAGTGTTGTATATACTTGCTCTTTGGGAAGTAAAAGCAATACAAGAAGTGGTTGAAAGCAGCTGTAAATCAGAACACAGCTACTTATCATATGTTATCATGTGTTTTGGTCTAGTATTCTGTTTAGGCTGTCATCTAAAAATAAATGGCAAAAGCTGTTCCTACCTCTTTCTGCTTATCACCTTAACACAATATCTGTTAGCAGAGTCAGCGAAGCAGTGTTAAGTAAATCCCATGAGATCAGGTCTTCCTGAAGAAGATAGATTTCTTGCATTATTCATGTTGGAATTTGTGTTTCAGCTCACAAGAGCTCTGTAATATTTAAATGTCTCGGATTTCTTGGTTTAGAATGAAGCTACTTGCTGTAGGAGAAAATAGGAAAACTTAGTTACATTTTTATTTCTTTATCATTCATTGAAGCATTTTTATAGGGAAGCATTAAGTTGAAAATCTAAATCATACTTGGACTTTTTTTTTTATTCCCTTTTTCAGTCATCTTGATTTCTTTTCACATTTAGTGTTGTTCTTCCTGCTTAGATGAAATGATGTAAAGACATCAACTTGTCTAAAAGAAATCTATGAAATAATTAATTTAAAAAAAATTACTATTCCATGGCCAAAACCAATATACTTAGATATTTTTTCCAGTTTTCTCATAAACTAGGCCTCTGGAATGAACTATAACTTGAAATTCATCTGTATCATGCTGTCCAACAATCAAATGTATTTTCCAAGATGCTGGCAGAAAAGCCCAAGAGAAATCACCAGAGCTTAGTTTCTTTTTAATATGAAAAACAGCTTATTAGTCCTGAGCCCGAGTTTGACTATACTTCTTGAGTGTGCTTGGTCACATTTATAGTGGACTTGAAATTTCTGCTTTATTTGAATTTTATTTGACTTTATATGAAATACTTCTGTCCTTGCAGGTCTTTGTACTTAGCCTAAACTTGGCTTTAAACATTAGATTTAAGATGCAGTGCGGTGTTACTGCATCACTGAGTGTTTTGCAGGTCTTTAAATGAAAGTAATAATAAAACTCAGCTGCCAAGTTCAGAGAAGAATTACTCTTCAAATGCTGTTTAGCATTTGTCTTTAAAAAAAGTCACTGACAATATGATTGAAGTAAAATAACAAAATATGGGATACTAAGAATTGGATTTGTTTACGATCTAAATTTACAGACCTTGTAAACACTTGGAGTCCCCCAGTGTGTTCCTATGCTGATATTTCCACTGATCAGAAGCCCATCTCAGTGTGAGAGATGTATTTATTACTTCATTTGATAAATTGAACTGCAGCATTTAGTTTATGCAAATCAGGGTTGTGTTTGATCAGACACTCATTTTTATTTCGTTGAGCATGTTTACCCCTTCAGCATTACTTTTTATTACAACACAACAGACATGAAATAAGCCTCCATTTTTATCATGTTTAATTTCCCCCTTTTAAAAAAGATACCTTTAGAAAAAGTTAAAGTCTTCATTAATATCAATAGTCTTCTAAAAGCTGAAAATATATCACACTGAAACATGCAGTGTGAAAAGGGGATGACAGATTTGTTTCTGATATTTCTCCACTGTCTTTTTTAAGAGGCTTCTGCACAGTAGTTGAGCTGAAGAGTACCGTGCAGCCCTCTTTGCTGCTTGGCCAGCACTTTTCCCCACACCTGTCAGATTAACAGGCTGATGCTCCTTCCCTCTTGGCCCACAGGTATTCAGTGGATACTTGTTGGATACTCATTTATGTTCCTCACCACTGCTAGATATGTGTCATAGAAATCCTGTCCTTGCTGGCTGGTTCAAGGCTAGTTTTCCTTCTGGATCACTTTGGGTTATGATGTTACCATACTTGGTTTAGTTTTTTTTTTCTTTTTAGTCAGCCTTGTAACTGCTGTAATCACATAACCACCAGACAAAAGCTGGTTTTTCTATCCTTAAAGGACTATAGTCATTAAAAAAGCAGTGTCTGTGCAATTAAAGATTTTTAGCTATTATAAGGTTTCAAAATTCAATGTAATTCTTTAATAGTTTGTCACAAACAGTTCCTTTTTAAGTCTTGAAAAAGGTGTTTTTTTTCTAATAAGGGGACACTATCAACAGTTGGTACTTGTTAATGCAGTGAGTTTGCCACATACATAATTTCTCAGACTATAAATTCAAAAACATGTTCTTGGAAGGTTAGTGTCGATGTTAGTGGACTGAGATTTGATTACATTGTATTTTATTATCTGTGCTTTGTTGCTGAAATGAAGTTGGTGGCCAGGAGCATTCTCTGGCAACTGATACAAAGAATAGTGGTAGAAATTGCTAACAAATTTCCAGACTTTTATCCCTTAATAAAGGTGCAAACGAAAGTATAGTTAAGTCTGCACTAGAAAAAGAGAATAGAAAACTATTTTCTAAGAGAGAATTAGGAAAATTAGTTTAGAAGTACAAAATCTTAATGCTGTGAATGAAAAGATACAAGACAACCACAGGCAATTTAAAATCAACTCACTTGATTTTTAGAGGTTTTATCTTGTTTTAAGGTGCATAAAGGTACAAATTTCAAAATGTGAATATACATATCTGTTAGCTACCAGGTTGCTTTAAGAAAAATACTTTTCTTTTAATCAATGTGTTGTACTCTTGAAAGTGGCTTATGGCTTATCACCCATTTATTATAGTAGTGTCCACCTGGGGGCGCTAAAATCTTGTAGAGCTAGTCTAAATATTTCATAAATAAAATGAAATTGTAAGGAAATGGAGAAATAGATTAGGCTAGAAAAATCCGTTTGGAATATCAGTGTACCGTTATGAGCAGGAAAAGCTGTAAGACAGAAGCTTTTCTAGCTTCTACCAGAAAGCACATTTTCTTCTTCTCCTGATTCCCTATTTTTAAAACTTACATATTGAGCATGTAGTGTTCTCCTGAGGTATTTTTTTTTTCCAGTAGGACTGGTAGCTTTCCAGTGGTAGCTTTCTTCTGGTTTCTCTTGTAGAAGAGAGGTAATGAAGACCGTTGCTTCACAGGAGTGCTCTTAAGTAATAACAAAGTCTTGATTTCCAGCTTCTTGTTAAGTCAGAAAAAGAGCCTGGACTGGACATATAATGGAATGGAAATAAATGGAATTATTTTCCATTTTGGAGACTTAACGAACTAGACGATCAAATCAAAACTCAAACGGCACTGCTAAAACTACTTTGTTAGATTGTGTGGCCTTTAGGAAAGAGTAATACTTCCGTTTGGTTTTGGGTAATAGTGTTCAGAAATTTGTAGCTCTTAGGATTTATGCAACTCCTTTATTCATCTTCATGCTTGTGCTTGTGCAGCATACTTACTCTTTTGAACCCTTTTTGGCATTCTGAATTTGTGTTTTGATGCCTTTTATCCTTTGAAACTGCTGATTGTGGCCTCGTTCGTGTACTTGCATATAAATTGGTAGATGTACTTTGAAGGTGATATGCAAAACAATGTGGGGAGGTGTATGAATATCCGTACTTTGGTGTTTGAAATCATGAACTCTTGAAGTCTTGTTTATGACTGGAAACTGATAAACTATTTCTTTTTAGATAAGTATCTTCAGTTTGTCATGGGAGTGGTTTCTGTTTTATGAGTGAAGGTTTGATTGCATTGTGGAAGTGGGATGGTTAGAATACGTATGTATTGCCTCAAAGAGGAGCGAATTTTGAGATTTTTAGTTCTATTTGTTAGTTGCTGCACTTGGGAGAGATTTTTCTAAGTATTTCAATGAACACACTACTGGATGTTTCCTGGTTGTCTTCAACTTGATGCCTAGTTATGGGTAAATGATTAGAGAGCTGCAATGTACTTTGATTTAGGAAATAACACCACTTAAAGTACTTCAGGGAAACCAGCGAGCGGCATATGAAGAACCCACCATTGCTGAAACAGTCTCTGCTTTAAGGTTTTTACTTTCTGAATTGTTCATCAGATTGTGGAGATTTTATATTTTCACTTCTCATGTCAAAACACTTTGTTTGTTTGTTTGTTTGTTTTTTCTTCTTGTAAGGTAACAAAAATGTCTAGAATGCTTTCTGGTTATCAGTGGGGCTTAAATAAAAGTTCATTGTGCTGGATGATAATATTCTTCAATTCACATGACAAATTTTTGGCTGGATAACTGTAGAACTTGTAAGGAAAACAAATTATGTATAGCAGTTATGCTCTGTATTCTGAATAAGAGTTGTATATGTTCTTTTGAATAATTTCTGTGAATTATTTTGACTGTACAGTTAACCAATCTGATAAGAACAGGCTCAGTTTCCATTTAAAAGTGAAGTCATACAGGAAACATAATACAGTATCTGCGTATATGGTGGGAAAATGTTTGGCTGGACCTCTTAAGTTGTGTTAAGGGATATCAGATAAAGATTTAACTATTATTTTTGTTCTGTTGCAGGGATTTCTCCAAAGTTAATATCCTGGTACCTGGTGCTGGGCTAGGTAGATTGGCGTGGGAAATAGCTATGCTCGGTTATGCTTGCCAAGGAAATGAATGGAGCCTCTTTATGCTCTTTTCTTCTAACTTTGTACTCAACAGGTATATAGCTTATGTTTTACTTGCTGAATAAAACCTAGAGAGGCAAAATTATAAATGAGAGAAGTCTGAATATATACATCTCACAATAATAGATTTATAAGTCTCACTACAAGGCACACATACTCTTTAGAATTCTTTAAGGAAAAAAGTTGTAGGAATAAATGAGGAAGGAAGAATTGTATCTGACTCATTAAAATTGCAGAAAGCATGACTTTCAAGTTGTGAGACTTAAAATCTCTACATTGTACAACAGTTTTTCTGCAAAATTTTGATTAGGTTTTACAATTTATTTCACATTTGTTTCTGTAAAATAGACACCTGTCTTACTAAATATAGGATAGTAAATTATGTCCATGGTATTTAGTAGTGGTGATTATTAAGAGGATACCTGTTTAAAAAGAACTATCACATTCCATAATAAAGTTTTAGGCAATGTTTTGACAAGAAAAAGAATCATTGAAGCGTGCTGAGCAAGAGGCTAAGAGTTAATAGTTCAACGATTATGCTCAGATAATAAATTTAAATGTAGTAAATTTCATGTTACAGGTTTTACTTAAAATGACATTTCTGTATTTGGTATTCTGCCATTTGCATCGGAATTACTGTTTTCAAAATGACCAGGCAGCATGTGCAACTGTTCTTTTAAGAAAGAGAGTGGGAAGGCTACAGTTGGGCAAGTATTGCAAGAGGTTTGGAGGGTGTTTTTTTGGGGGGTGTTAGTGCCAGGTTCACAGAGGCAGAATTTGACAGGTCATTCATCAGTCTGAAATGATACACCTTTGCTGAAAATACCTAAATATTGGCTTTTCTTTCTGTATTATCATGTTTTGGAGACTTTTATAGACTATAGATTGTTCACAGCGCACTTGCATCTTGGTGCTCTTGCATCTCATACAGCTAGTACTCTTCAAAATGGTTTATTACAATTGATCTAGCATGCCTTTTAGCTACTAAAGAGAAGCCATATTCCTCTCATGCTTTAGGACTTCAAAGCAGCATAAAAACATGCATTTCCCATCTTTTGGAGCACTGGTCAGCTGTCACAGAGGTTAGTTAGCTTCACCTCTACCCTCTGATGACATGCTTCCTTAAATAAAGAGTCTTCGACTACATGTGAAATTTTCCTAAAGAGTCATACTTTACTAGTGGTAGTAATTTTAGCATCTAATGCTCATGTAGTGTTTCCTGTTTATGTCGAATATTTAGCAAAGAGGTGTACATACATTAAATCTCCTAACAGATTCTGGACACCAAAATTGAGTGTTTGGTGCAACCACTGTAATCATCTTTGCTGGACAAGTTATCAGTTACCTTGTTAGCATGGAAGAGAATACTGCTAGCATGACTGAGCAGCAGTGAATTTAGTTCAAATTCAAGCATTCCTTTCTGCCAGATGTAATTGTGGATTTGATGTGTCTGTTATGAAGGTTTTAGGGACTTGAAGATTCAGTTTAGTCTGAAGTGGCTCTTAATGGTTAGCCTTCTGAAATGCATATTTGCTTTTCTGAAACTGGAAGAAACAGCAATGATCAATATAAGCTGAAGAAAATCCCTAAAGAAGAGTGGTCAGAAAAAAGAATTTGGCAATTAGTTTTCAACTGTAGTCTCAGTTTAATTTATACTTGTTTTTAGTTGATAAACGCATGAGGATTTTGCTTATATATGCTTACAGTTTTACATTTTACAGCTTTACCTTTCTCTAATGGTGGTTTATATTTAGGAAGACAAAGTACTGTTTTGAATGTCAAGCATTGCTACAGTAGATGTGGTATACTGGCTTAATGTTTCTGTGCACAAAGTGGTATTTGCTGATTTTCACACATTTTAAAAAAACCTTCCATATCTCTGAAATTGGGAACTTTTGTTACGGTGGATAAAGTTGTATGTGTGTCACAGTGTAACTGTGGTCACTGTAAATATCTGAAATTATTTAGAGTTTGTTATTCTGTTGAGGAAACTAATTTGAGAATAAAGTGACCCTAGACTAATTAAGCTAGTGTCTCCAAGGCCACTTCAGTCCTTGTATGGGACATCCTGCTTTCCCTTATATGCATAAGGTTCTTGCATGGTATGTGTTTCTTCTTTACTTTCTGGAAATAATATAATTATAGATAAATCTTAACACTTGGAGGAGACTACTAGTTGTGTTTGTTGCATGTCCATGAATGCCTTAGGATGAAAACAGTTAAGTTATATTTTTCTCTGTATACCAGTGGTGAGAAGTGAGATTTGACCTACCCATTTTTTTCAAAACTGTCTTTTCAGCTGAATGTTGAACAGTGAATACCCCACTCCTATGGAAAATAGTCAAGTGTGTCGCACTTAAACATGTTAGATTTTTATTATTAGAATGTGTATTACACATCTTTTGTTGTAAGAATGGAATTGCCAAGGACTGGAGTACTTGGTTTTGAAGTAAAAATTGTTGAAACTGGAAATGGAGGTTGTCAAGCTTGTATATGAAAACAGATTGCTATTTTCTATTAAATTGGAACTGTTTCAAAGTCTGTGTGAACATGAACTCCTTTCTAATATTTTTTTTAATTGCTGTTGCTGTAACTAGGGGGCTTTTTTGTTGTTTGGTTTTGGGTTTGCTTTTTTTAAACCAACTGCATATGTCTGATATTTATATATGAAGAAAGTAATTGGGCACTGTTTTACTGCTGTTCCAGTTTTAGTTTTTAACTGATAAAATGAAATAGAGATATGACATGGAGAAGGTAAAAAGTATTATTTCCAACACTTTATCACAAATATATTCTAATCACCAGCCAGAAGAATGCACTTTCTATAACCCAATATATTGCTTGCAGTTTATGAAATGCTTGATGGTATTTATTATGTGGGACAGATGTGTCCTCTGTTGTCTTTGAAAGAAAATGTTTTTTCATTTATTTGTTACAAACTAATTTTACAGGAAGGTGGGAAAAGCTTCCTGTTATACTTAAATGCTATGTTTAATCACTTTTAAAAATACGAGTTGATTTCATTAGTCATGTCAGTCCAGAAGCTCTGTTTTACAAAATATCTTTGCTTAACATGATTGCAAAGATTCAGGTGTTACAAACTTAAAATGACTTAAACTTAAAATTACTACTGTGCTTTGCAAAATGGCACTTAATTGTATTTTTAATTTTTAAAACATCTTTTCAGTTAGCCTCTAAAAAATGCTTTTCTTTCCTATGATTATGGTTCAGGAAAGTCTAGAATGGTAACAAAAGTTTAAAAAAAAATCATGGTACTAATGTTACTAGGTTTTTTTTTTTGTTGGTTGGTTGGGTTTTGATTTTTGTTTTTTTTTATAGGAAGAGAGATGATCCAGCAAATCTCAGCGTTATGGAATATAGCAAATCTAAAATTTTATTAATCTTACAAAATAAACGTGTTTTCTTCTCAGCAGAGAAATAAGTTGGAGAAAATTATAAGAAGTCAGAAAATTCTAAAGCTAAAAAAGGCAATTACTTTGTGGTAGCGATTGTGTTCCAGATTAAAATTTGGTTTTTGATCACTTCATTATTATGGGCAGTCTAAAGTGTTGTGAACTAGATTAAGTCTTCTGGCAAATGTTGAGCTGTTACAAGAACTTTGACTCATTTCTAGATTATAGATAAGCAATTAGTTGAAACAAATTTTGGTGGTTTTCATATTTTTCAGATGCTCTCAAATTAATTCATGTAAGCTTTATCCCTGGATCCATCAATTTAGCAATAACAGAAGATCTGCTGATCAGATACGACCAATTTATTTCCCAGATGTTGATCCTCATAGTCTTCCTTCTGGTTCAAACTTCTCTATGACAGCAGGGGATTTTCAGGAAATTTATTCTGAATGCAGTGAGTAAATGCAAAGCTCTAGGCTTTATGTAATTTAACATACTTTCAGAGTATTTGGGACAGATTATAAAGAGAACGGAAGTGCATCTACTAGTAGTAAGAACTAGCTATAGCAAGATTCTCTTACTCAGACTCTTTCTCCAGCTGTATCAATAAGTCTATTTCTTACTCCAAATAAGCTTTTCTTTTCCTAGTTATCGAAAATGTGGACACCTCCTTGCTTCCAGGAGCCTTCCCCACAGCTGCTTAATTTTTGAAGATTCTATCTTTAACAGTGGAACGTCCAAGACTAGCATAAATTAAGACTTGTAATGTTTTTAATGTACAGAACTTAAAACTTCTGCAATTTCAAGAATACCTGTTTAGAAAAAAATAGGGAGATTCGTGGTTTAAAAGGTAGACTTCAAAAGTTCCATTGTTGAATTGACTGGTTAAAAACAGCTGGGGAGATACTCAAATGCTGAGTAAAATGTTTTAAAGCTAAGTGACTTGTAAAAGTACACTTTAGTGTGTAGACTTTTATTTTTCTAGATACTAACTAGGGAGGCCTAATATGACTGGAGATTTTTTTAGTTGTTTTTTTAACAGTTTTCATAGTGAAATTCATAGGACAGGTGAGTGATAGCATACTAGGGCCTTCATTTATATCAAATGTGTTACAGCATTTACATTTTACAGTATATAATAGATATAATTTTATATAATGTATGAACAGTTTTGTTAAGTGAATAAGTAGTAAGTGTATGCAATATTGTAGTGTGTGTATGTATACATATGCACATATGAATACAGGTCAAATGAGCTGAAAGTTAACAGTTTTTAATGTAAACCAAAATACTTTATTTAGTTGCAAACAAAATTATGAGCCTTCAGTGCTCTTAGTTGAAGGTGATTCTGAGAGTATCAGCAAATACCAGGGTTAAATGATGAACTTTTACAAGATTAAAAACACTGAAACTAATCTCTGTATACTTTGCTCTTTTTGTGCAGATACATGGGACTGCGTAGCAACTTGCTTTTTCATAGATACAGCACATAATGTTATTGATTACATTGATACTATATGGAAAATACTAAAGCCTGGAGGAATATGGATAAATGTAGGCAAGTGTGACCAGCCACTCTTTTTTATTTACTTTTGATAGTATACTTGAAAAGTGTGTGAATAATTATCTGTGCAGCAAACTGTACAGCTAGAAAAATACAGGGCTTGGAAATTACCTCAGAGGTGCTCAAAATATGTTCACATGTTTTCTAGTTACAATCAAGTCAATACGCTGTGATTTTTAAATAGGCAACTAGATCTTGCTAGTGGCAGGTTTTGCATTCATGCATCAAACGTTTAGTTTTTGACAAATGTAGTATTCTTTGTTGGTTTTTTTACTATTTTTTCAGAACTTTTGGTATTTTTCAGAACCTTAAAATACATCCTTCCTTTTTTAGTTTTGTTTCCCATGTCTGATTGGTATGCCACTTCAAAGCAGAAGTTTTGGGAATGAGGTTTGATTGGAGTATTGCATGGTAAAGGAATGTTAACAAGGCCAGGCATTAAATGTTATGCATAATAAAAACTGGTGACTCACTGGTAAATCAGTCACACTCCCAGTCCCACTCAGTCAGGAGTGCTAGCAGAGCTCCTAGACAGACTTTTATATTCTGAGCTATAGAGACAGCAATGATGCTTACCTGAAGAAATTTTAAGATACAGAAAACAATCTGGTAGGAAATGTTGCAAATAGTTAAATAAGAGCTGAAGTAATTAGTTTTCATTTTGCATTGACTCTGAAGTTCATTATAAGAATCATATTCAAGTTACAGCAATATGTTCTTTTGTCAGAATTTACAGAATCATAGAATGGTTTGGCTTGGAAGGGATCATAAATATGATCTAGTTCCAGCCCTCCTACCCTGGGCAGGGAACCTTCCATATATTTGAGTATGTGAATCTGAATGTAAGTGTTTGTTGCACTATCAGTATATATTTTTGATTTTTAACATATATTTTGTCTTTTTGATAGCGATTTCTGTTGTATCTTTGAACTTCAGGTCCTCTCCTTTACCATTTTGAAAACTTGGGAAATGAACTTTCCATAGAATTAAGCTATGAGGATATAAAAAATGTTATCCTGCAGTATGGATTCCATATAGAGGTAAGAAAATGCTGTAGTTTGCAGTAAGCAGTATTTTTATGAATTGGACAAACTGCTTTGAATAAACCACCATAAATTTCATTCAATATAATGACATATATTAATGACTTTGCAGAGTATTACGTATCTTACAAATTACCTGCTTTTCTCAAGTGTATAGATGAGCCTCATAATCTGATAACCATATAGCATTTTCCTGTGTAGTTCCTGTACAGAAGCTATCTTTAAAACTGCTGCTTTGTTTTCAGGTGGAGAAAGAATCTGTACTGTCAACTTACACTGTGAATGAACTCTCCATGATGAAATACTACTATGAATGCGTGTTGTTTGTGGTGAGAAAACCAGAATAGTAGTAGTCTGAAGAGGTTAATGAGAAAATAATATTGGTTTGAAAGCTAGAAATGAGAATAAAATCATCTGGTGATGTACGGACACAACCTCAAATCAGTGGTGCCTTCTTGTTCCTAAGAGGATATAGATAGTGTCTATTTTCTTAATCTCTCTATTGCTATTCAGACATATACTATGCCATGCATATTCATAATACACTTGTAAAAGATTACATGTTCACAGGCACTATCTTTTGTGCTTTGGAATGCATTAAATAAAAAAGCAAAAGTGTTTTCTTGAGAACAAAATGTAATGTTTGCCATAACTAGACTAATTCTCTGCTAATGCTGCCTCATTTCTCATAGATTTATAGTGCTGTTTTTTTTCTACTTGATGATATTAGGAATGCATGGAGGTGCTTACTGTACTAGTTATATCACTTTTAGAGAAGTATTTGTAAATGTATACTTAAATTATGAAGTCTGAAATGGTTGGGAAGTGATAAAATTATTTTTGACAGAAAATAGTCATCAGAACTGTTAGAGCATTTTCTGTGGAACTGAAGTATAATATGATATTACACAAATTCTGATCTTTGGCTGTACCACTGTTAAAAATTTAATCAAAAACCAGAGCCTAAAGGAAATTTGAAGTACTATGTGAAAGCTGAATACGGAGTGAAGAAAAAGCAGAGTATCACAGAGAAGCAGTATGTTAACCTCAGTTTAGGAAAACGTGGGTCTTGATTGATCTTAGTGTTGGAACTGAAATGTGTTAGATGCATTGCCTTCTTGAAATAACACTGATTTTGAGTTATCTTCTTACTGTTTAAGCCAGAAGTTTTAAAGTTGATAAACGTAGCTGAGTTATCCATGCCATGTGTAGGTAGTATGATGTCAAAGTACCTGTTGGAGCAGTGAAGTTAAATGTAAATATGTGCTATAACCTAATTACTTCCCCGTGAGCCAGGATACGCAGGCCAGATGATAGACAATTTCCTTGTACCTTCAAACACTTTACTTCACCCTTGTGACTTTTTGGTTCCTCCTGCTAATGTGTTGGTTTTTTTCTAACATATGTGTCTTAGGTGAATATTTAATCTAGAAGTCGTTATTTAATCTACAGGAGGCTGTCACGCCACATACAATCTCATGTCACTTTGAAGTTATGTACATTAAAAACATTAACAGTCACTAGTCTCAGATGAGGTGTCATCTTAGGTATTTTGTTTTTGTGATACATTGATTACCTTAAGTGCCATTTGGATGCATTTTCAAAAATGTTTAAAATATAAAACCATTATGATGAGGGCTGATTTTTTAAATCATATTTAGCTATAAGGACACTGGTCAGTAGTTTGTTTCTGGTTATTTTTTGTCCTGTCTTTCATGGTAGTGTCATAATCACATCTCTTTAATAGATATAATAGATATATATTTAATAGATAGAATACTTGCTTTTCGATGTTTCTAATCAAGGGCAGAAATTTGTGCCTTTATTCTTAAATTGAAAATCTGCAAGGAGGGAAAACAAGCTTAAAAAAATACTTTTGACACTGCGTAGGAGCATATGCTTGTATATATTTCAGTATTGTGCCCCTTTCTGCTCAGAATCCCGATCCAGAGGCTTCTGGTCTACAGAAGTTTTGAAGTTTGGCTTAAAACTACTCTTCTTTGAATTCTCTCACTTCAAAAGTGCACAAACTGTCAAAGTTCTACCCTGTTCCAAGGGAGATCTGTTTAAAGATTAAACACTGCTATTCAACAAATAATTTAAAAGTCCTCATATGGCTAAAAGTAAAAAACCACATGCTTTAATTTCCATATTGTAGCATTTAATTTTTGAGGAAATTTGTGATTCTTTGCTTTCAATCTGCTTCTCTTCTTTTAGGTAGAATATGATTAGTAATTTACTTGACTTTCAGGCTTCTTGAAATTAGGCAGAGGTTAGGTGAATGTCAAGTTGATGCCGAGTAGCATATCTGTATGTAATACTACCCAGCTACTGCCCCTTATACAGTCTGTAACTTGAAATGTGGTGTTCTGTTTTTCAAATATAAGCAATGGAACTCTTTATTTATGGTTGAGTGTCAATATCCTGTGTTCTGGTGGTTTTTTTTCCTTGCCACTCCAGGTGCCATTTTTGTATGTTCTCTGAAAATATTTTTACATATAATGTAATACAGTGACATGCGTTTATTTCTAATCTAGGAAATTCTGGTTTTATTTCCCGGAGCATTCTACTTTTAAATTGCAACAGTCACATTAAGAGTTGGAAGCAAAATAGTCTTGTGAATGAGCTGTTAGTAGAGTTTTGTCTGCAGTCCCATTTAAGAGTTCTTAGAATTTGCCAGTTGTACTGTAATGCACAGGGATAATTGTGTATTATAGAATTTGATCTTTGTTTTATTTAGCTTTATATGCAGGGGGCAATGCTCAAGGTGTCTGTCAGCTGAGACTGTTTCTTTTAGGTCACTATTAAACTATACATGGTAACAGGTGTAAAATAAAACGCTGCATTATCTTCAGCGTAGAACTTCTTTATGTGGAGTTTGATAAATGTAAAACGTCCTGTATTTTTTTTAACGCGTTATATTCTGAAATTGGTTGCAAAGATGGTAAGAATGGGAAGTTTCATGTCTCTGTGTGCACTTCCCACAGTTTTCAGTGTGTGTAATGGGCTGGGTTTTTTGGATATTAAAGCTTGGTGTAAGGCTCGACGTCTGGCGTGTCTGGCTCCATCCTTCGCGGCCGGGTGCGACTTTGGCTGTGTGGGCGCTTCCCGCCGGCTCCTCCCGTCAGGCAGCGCGGCAGGCAGCTCCACCCCTCGACGTCGCTGCCGACCGTAGCGCTCATGCGCGCTGCAGCGCGCGCCCGCCGCGCATGCGCCGGCCGTGCACACGATCCCTGCGGAGCCGCCGGCGCGCGGCCCCTCATGGCCAAGCGGCGCGCGGAGCCGCTGATGTGTCACGTGCCCGTGAAGCGGCTGCTGCGCGAGCCGGCGCTGCCCCGCGCGGGCGAGCGGCGGCCCCGGGCAGAGCCGGGCTGCGCGGGCCCCGCTGCGCCCAAGCGCCCGCTGGAGGAGGCGGAGGCGCCGCCGGGAAAGCGGCTCGGGCCCGGCGCCCCCCGTGCGCTGCCGGGGGACGCGGGCGGCGGGCGGCGGCGGCGCGGAGAGGGGGCAGCCGCCGCCGAGGTAACTGAGCGGGAGGGGCCCGGGTCGCTCGCCCGCGGGAAGGGAAGTGAGGGGCGGTGCTGGTAGCGGCTGAAGCGTGTCTGCAGGACGCGGGTGTCCGCCGGGGGTGCTGGCGGGCTTTCGTGTGCCGCCCAGCCTCATCTGCGCCTTCTGGCCGCGGGCCTCCTAAAGCTCCTCTTATTTTTGTCTTCCTTGAGGCAAGAGAAGTATCATCCAGCTTTTACCGATCCCTCGTCCGCTCCGCGCCATGAAATGGATGGGACACAGCCTGTCCACCTTACCTGAGCTTATGCTTAGCTTCATCCCGTCCAGCGGTGCGGTGGAAGCTTGCCGAGGTTATTTTGTCGCCTCTGTTGTGTGGGGGTGAGGGTTAGGCTCACTACAGTGTCAGCTTCCTAAACTTCGTGTTTTGGCATGTAATAGCTCTGGCAGGGTCACAGATGTCTTTTAACCAAAACATTTAGCGGAGGCAGTGGTCTGAGGAAGGGCATCAGTGTAATAATGATTAGAGTATATTGAAACGACTTTTCTGGTTACCTTTAAACAATATACGTTTTTCTTCCTGGCCTTGACTGCATTTTACACAATAGTTCTGAAAAACAGATTTGGTACGTACAAAGAAAATTTTAATTAAAGAAAAAAACCCACACAACCAAAACAAATTTCACATGTTTCAAACACAGAAGTTTGGTGCGTGGTAAACTGACTTTTCCTCCCGTCTCGATCTTGTATGACCAGACGATTAGATTCAGTGATATGGAAGTGGCAGAAGGTCTGATCAGGTTAGATGGGCTTTGAACGGCAGCTGTAAACTCTAGTTTTGAGAATTTGATGTCTTTCATAGTACAATACCCACTTACGATCTGTAAAGAAAGGAGTGGCTTTTCATCTTGAAGCTCTTCTTTTTTGTGTTTTCTTGGATGATTGATTTGTTAATGGGTTTAATTGATGATGGATGGTAGAAATCTAGGAAAAATCCTACATGCTATGAATATTTTACGACCATTTTAAACACAATTATCTTCTCATTTTTGAAGAGAGAACATGTGTATTCGTAAACATAGTAATTAATCAATGTGAACAAACCTCTGTAGAACAGTTTGACTCCCATCACAGGTATAATGCTGGATTTTACTTGCTACAGAACAGTTTGACTGTCACCACAGATATAATGCTGGACTTCTAACTTTCTCTTAGCTTTTTTTGGCATAACTTTGTAAGCTTTGCAGTGGTTGGGAGACCACAAGTCCCTTAAATTTCCATACTGTAAAAATTAGTCCTCTATATAAAATATTTTTCTAGGAGTGTATTTTTAACAGGGTGTTTCTCTCAGCACAGTATTGTATAAAATGTTTTAGTTTTAAAATAAAGCTTGGTTAACACCTCAGGCTAGAGATACTTCTTCGGGTTTTTGTGTGTCCTACCTGTATATTTTATATCTTTTATAATGATATTTCTGATTATGATTTTTGCACCTTTCTGAAAATACAATCCTAAGGTTGGTGTTATTCTTTGCTATTTATGGCTTGTGTATTTCATTAATTTCACAGTATTTTTTGTTAAAGTTTAAAGCCTTATATTACAGTTGACCAGAGAGGAAAGATTATTTTAATTTTATTTCCAAGTACACTTTTGCAATTAGAGTTGGAAAACTAACTCCTTAAATATTACACAACTTAGTCTATAGAAACTGAACTTTTGTATCTCTGAGCTCACTGTGTGTTGCCTACCTTGACAGAGTTTCTACTCAAAACCTATGTGGAAACTTACTTAGTTGAAGGTGAATATTTGGTATTTTATTTTGCCTTCTAGTTAGAATGTTTAGCGTTTTTGCCTTTTTTTACTTGATGCTTTTTTTTGTTTTCACACTGAAACATTGCTGGTCTGTAAACTTGAAAGCTCTTGAGATTAATTATGCTTGTAGTCTTCGTCCAAAATTGAATATGTGTTTATGAACTCTTTGGCTCTAATAATTTTGAAACGAGGTTCTGTGCTTCACTTTATGCATACAAAGCATCAGAGTTCTGATTTTAAGTGCTTAGCTGTCAGTGTGAGCAAAAACTTATTAAACTGTCAGGGGAGTTCAAATTATGCAGGGGAGAATTTATAAAAGTAGTTGATGGTTTCTGAAACTGCACTACCTGAGATTTTTTTCAAAAACGTGTTAGCCACCTGCCCTGCACAGTTCTGTGTGATTGATGCTGTGTAGGCTGAAATATAGACTGGAAATTGCACACAGTTGTTGTTAATGCTGAGCAGTACGAAACATCCAGTTTACAAGAATGAGCAACTACTTTTGGTTTGACTTTTTTCCATTTTCAGTATAGTCGGTCCTTTTGTTCTTGTGTCACAGCGTCATTTAATTGGTTTTGGTCTCAATTAATGGGAAATTTTGTTATTTAGTATTTTCTGAAGACAGACTTTCCCAATGAGAAATTCACATTTGTAGTATTCTGCAGGCAAGGAGCCATCTTACTGCTATGAAATGTCTACACCTTTTGTCCTCTCTTCATTATTACAGGTTTTAAATAATGCAGAGGTTTTGCAGCAGAAAGACATTGCTTAGTACAACATATTGTAGTTCAGGAGAGGTATGTGTGGCAAGAAAAGAAAAATATATTCTTTAAATGATTTTATGTACTTCTGTCTTCTGGGAAGTGGGGAAAGCATAATTTTTCAGTATTTGAGGAGCTGTAGGGATGATACTCGCTACTGTATTTTTTATTCTGTTGCAAAACCAATGGACAAGTCATTCATTTTTTCAAGGGCCACACTGTAGAGGCCCATTGAAGTTGACTTAGTCACAATGTGGATTGTGGTTGTGCTTTCACCCCCCACAGTCTTCACATTGGTATCTGAGAAATACCAAAACAATTATACCAGTTTATTTGTTGAAAATACCTCTGTTCAGCATTTGGTACAGCTGAGACAGTGAAGTAAAATATTTTAAAATTCAAATTGTATGTTAGGAAAAATGCAAACCCAATATAATATAGAAATGCATTATTTTAGGTTTGTGTCAGCATTCACTTTTTAGATACCAGAAGAAAATACATGCTGGTGACCTAAAGAATGACTTAAGTCATTCCTCTTCCTAGGTGTATCATCTCCATAGAAACATGTACAGCTTGGCACCATTGATAACTGTGATATATTTATAAACAGACAGTGTGTTTTCTCATAGACATTAAAAAAAATTAAAACTGTCATGCCATATTAAATTAGTAGATGAGGATGTGTTTCTCCAAGGTTTTTTGAGGTACTGTCTAGTTAGGTTAAGTTGGAGCATTGTTGCTCATAATGCCAAGGTTGTGGGTTTGATCCCCATATGGTCCGTTCATTTAAAGAGCTGCACTCCTTGTGGGTCCCTTCTAGCTCAGAATATTCTGTGATTCTTAAGCTTTCCTCTCTTGAATACAAATTTTGGATACAGAAAAGAAGAAACAGAATGTGATTTAAACACTAGAATGCTTTATTTATCCTGCATGAATCATCCCTTGACTTGCTGTTAAGTAGGTAAATACATTACTTTGATTACTAGTTTCTTAATGTGAATAAAAATTGTAATTGTTATAAGAAGAAAAAACAGTGAGCTGTTTTTTGTGTGCAAAATCCAATAATTGTATAAGTTTTACACCTTGTAAGTTGTAAGTTGAAGAAATTTATGAAATTATGGAAGCTGCTACATAATTCTTCATAAGAATATTAAAAAAGGCAGAAGTAAATCATGATCTAGTTAAGAATCAACATTAAAATAATCGTTAATATGTAATAGCTAAGTAACTCTTCCTAGTTTCAGTTTCTCATAATAAAAGTTTCTTTTTATAATTTTCTGCTGGTGGTATGCTTAACGATGTTTTGTTAACTTTTTGTTTATTTGTCTCTTTTCAAAGCAAGAAGAAGAATTCTGTGAATATAACTCATTCCTGTACTGGAGAGCACCACTGCCTGCTATTGATTTGTCTGATATTCAGAACCTAGATGAAGAGACTCCACTGGGCGCAAAAACTGCTGCAAGGACTGATATCACAGAGACTGAAATGGAAACCTGATCAGTTGTTTCATTGCTGTCCCCAGGAATCTTGTTTCCATTGAGATTCAGGTTTTGTTCCTTGGGTGAATAATGAGTATGCTTATGCCGTCTTGGAGAAACTGTTGTGACAGTCTTTAAATGCAAATCTGAGTTGCCTTAGTGGATGGGATAAATGGTATTGGATACTTAACAGTGGGCTGTCTGAAGATGTGCAGTAAGGAGGAGCCAACAGTGTCTAAAAAGAATACTTGAAAACACAGAGGCAGACTGAAAGAATAATACAGAAAATTAGAACTTTGGGATGCAATTAAAAGTAATGGGGATATGTTATGTGTTGATAGAAAATGCAAAATAATTTTATCCTTGACAAAAAAAGTGTGGTACCTGAAAGTGAAATATGTGTTGTTTTTTTTTTTAATGTGTCTTTTTTTCTGTATAATAGCTAAACCAAAATATAAGAGTCCATCAAAACTGGACAAAACATTCCCTTTTCTATGCAAACCAAAAACCAAGTGTGACAGAAGGGGAAGGAAAAGGGATTACTTTCTGCTGAAAGCTGCTGCTGTGTTCATATTCTCATTGTGAAAAAGTATTTTCACCTTCTCTTTTTCACATTATGCACAGCAGTGGGCACCCAGTTTTCAATGTTTTTGGTTCATTCTAAAGTTATTGTTATTCTTAGTCTTTGTGACATTGCTCTGAACCAGTTGTCAGCATCTGAATAACACGTTTTGGCAAATGTGTCAAGGCAAGTTAGTGCAATATAAAATGACCGCACACTCTTTCAAACTTCAGTGAATGAGGTGTAGTTTTTGCAGAGACTGTGAATCTTGGAGAAAGTTTTTGCAGAAGTTCATTCAAATAGTGGTTTTTTGCTGTGAAATATGAACTTAATGTTTGTGATTTTCAATTTATTTACAAATTGAAGTACAATTAGAAAGACATGTTTTTAATAATAGACTGAAGTTGTATGGGAAGACTTAGATTTTGCAAATACTAAGGATAGAAGACATTGTATTTTTTCTGTAATCATTATGCAAAAAGCAACTTTTGAATTTTATTTTTTTCTAATGATGTGCTTGCTAAAGGACAATAAAGTTTTGCTTGTGTGTATACGATAACTTTGGCACTATTATTATGTGAAGTTCTTTATTTCATAAGATTGCTGGTTCTGTATCTTTGTGGATTTATTAGGTCTTTTTGCTTAAAACAGTGAGCTTTTCAGCTTTTTTGGTAAACACTTAGAAACTTTTTCTGGTACTTGTGCTGCATCTTTGGGTATCTTTGTTGCTTATTCATTTAGCTTGCTAAGATTTCTGAATACCTTCTGAAGAAAGGCTTAGTGACTTAGGCAGTTCAGGGTCCCTCTTTGGATATCCTTGTACCTTTTGTCAGATTAGCTGGATACGTATTTGGACAATATGTATTTTTCTCGACAGTTTCAACATTTTGTATTAGTCCAAATACACCAACTTGTCTTAGGAGGTACTTGATTTTTTTTTTTTAAAAACAAACTCTTCTGGCAAGAAGGCTATAAAACTGCTATTTCATGTTTACTATAACCAAAATAAATTAGTAAAAAAATGGATCTATTGATTTGTTGAGATGTTTGGATTGCTTATATGATCTAGGGGGGTTTGACCCTAGATAATACATGTGTTCCTATAATTGTGAGTTTTATAATATGTCACCATCCAGTGTTGTCAGGATCCAGTCAGTATTTTGCATTATTAGCTTTTCAACACACTTTGCTCATTTAAAATCTGCTTGGTGCTTCACTCACAGTATATATGTTGTAGCAATGGCCTGCGTATTATTATTAAAATCTGTAATTTTATTCTGTTTGTGGGACAGAGGATGTTTTATTATTGTCATTCAAATACATGTTTAATCTATCCCATAATAAGATAAATAAGTCCTTTACAACAAATTAAGCTTGCAGTGTGCTGTAAGTATGTTTACTTCATTTGCAATTGTGCTGTAGGCAAGCACTTTCCTCTTAGTTCCAGTTCTGGACTCTGTTACGGGCTGGAATGTTATGGCTACTTTTAGGGCATTTCCAGAGCTGATTAATTTTTTCCATTCATCTCTTTGCAAATAGAAGTAAATTTAAACGCTTTGGAAAACTACTTGAAATTACCCTTGAAAATCTGGGTTATACGAAATGCTGGGCCAGTAAGGGAGAGTGATGATAGATTACATAAATTTTGCATTAGAGCTGACATATGATAAGAAATTGCATTTCTCAGTGTCTGGTATCTCCAGATGCCATGTGACGCTGAACTACCAAATTGCTGGTCTTGGCTTCTGGCTCCATTTTTCTAGACATCTTTCATTCGAAAGCTATACATAAACTCAGGCTGTTTTAATTTGCATATGTATTAATATTCAGTGAGAAGAAAACGTTCTTTTAAGATCAAGAAATGCCATCACGCATCTTGAGACAGTTTGGTGGCTACATACTGACTGACAGTTTTAATCTGATACGGTTTTAAATTTCAGGGGAAAAGAATAATTTGTATTTTCTAGTTAACTGGGAGTTTGGTATTCTGTAAAAGGAAGAACAAGTGTCACAAATTTAAGAATTTGTAAGGGGTAACCACATCTAGACACCACCCAAGCTGATCAGGTTCTGCAGCAGCAAGTTACACAGTAAGGGTATAGGCATAATAGTAAGTCAGATGTGGGAGTTAAATATGTTTCAAAGCAAATACAGACAGCAAAGTAGCATGACCAACATTAGTAAATTTTTTGCATTGTTTCTAAACTGAAGACATGTTTTACATTGTCTCATGTATGTTTACTGAAGGCCTACATTATGTTTATGGTTCCCAAGATAGATAAGCCTCTGGGAGAACATTAAAGCTCAGTCCAGATCAGGAAAAGTGAAGAACTACTGTGAAAAACAGGCTGCACAAAATGAACATGTGTTAGGTAAGTAGAGATGTAGAAAGAAAAGGAAAAAATTGTGGGGGATGGAAAGTAGGTGATCGTGAAGTAACTCAGACTATGAGTGCACATATAGTTGGCCAACAGATCAATGACAATATTTTCGGCATTGGCTCCATCTTCATCACAGCAACATTAGTTATTTGAATATGGATATGATGTAAATGTAACAGGTTTCTCATTCTTTTGACAGTTTCTGGTTGATTTTTTTCATTTTGGCCAGGAATCTAGTGGATGTTAAAAAAGCATGCTTGTATATAGGTACTTGGAAAATATGTAGGGTCCTTCATGAAGAAGATAAAAGCATGCAAATGTGTATGTTTCCACGTGAAACTGAAGTTAATTACTATTCAGCATCTGCCAGCATTTTCTAAACAGAGAACAGTAGATTCATTTGGGGAAATTCATGTATTCTTTTGTGAAGGCATTTGACCATGACTGTGTAAGAGGGGTTAGACTGCGGAGACTCAGTGTTTTCTGCAGCAAAGCTTGTGCTCAAAGAAGCATTTCGTAATAACTAATATGCCTAGGTTGGCTTAATTACTTCCATGCCTACAGTTACAACTTTGGCACTCTAGATGGCAATACACATTCACAGTAAGTTACCATGAATCTGGAAAATGTTTTGGGTATGCTTTTATTACAGAGTGCTACTAAAAATTCAAGCGGTGACATCACGAATGTTAATCATTTCCTTACTGTGATACATAAATAAGGGCAGATCAACTCACAAGTTCATGATCATAAGGGGGCACAAGGTTTTCAGCGTAACTAGAGTAAAAGCGTTCTGTCAAGGAGTTTTGATTAATCTCTTAATTCTCTCCAAATCTCCTCATCCCTCAAAGAAGAAACAAACCAAAAAATAGCCAACCGAACTCAATTTAATACATGGGATTTTGTTGTCACTACTTTGTACCACTGTTTCCTTTAGTTAAAACTGGGGAACAAACTTTATCAGATATTGGATGGAAACCTCAGTTGGTGGCTGAAGGCTGCTTAAAGTGTCTAATGATAATATGAGGAAGGAAAAGGTAAGTGCAAATTCATAAGAAACTAACTCAGGAAGAAGTATTTAAATGTTTGTATATAGGTAATTATTTGCAGTGTGGATAAAATTAGGGAAGGAAGATACTTATTTTCCTTTTTCCTGATTAAAATTCCTACTCAATGCTTTTTTGTATTAGAGAATTTGATGGTGATGTATAGTATATTTTGACAGTATATTTTAATTACTATTGCATTTGCTAGTAATAGTTGTAGTCAGTAGTAGTAAGGACTTCAACAGACATTGTTCTTTCTTCTCTTAAAGCCATACAGATAATAACCTTTTCCCCGATGAAGGAAAAAATAGTTTTCTTGTTAGTGATATGTTACTCTTGCCAGAGGAAAAAATGTGAAAGCAGGATGGAGACAAAGTAAATTTTTGCTTGTGTGTTTACTTTGTTTTTATGGTAGATGATTATTTTCCTGCTTTTGTTTTGTCTTATTTTATGATAACTTTTGAAAGAAGGGATATGGACTAGCTAAGCATTATATGCATTTTATATTTTTCCACTTTTCTTATATGTATGCTTACTGTTCATATTTGGATTGGAATATGAATTAAGTGATTTACCAAGTATGAGATTGAGAAAATGAAACAAAAATAGCATTGTACTATCTGCAGTGATGTTTAAGCTAGAGAAAAGCCTTTCATGCAGAGCTATGAATGGAAATGAGCCATTCATTGTTCTCTTGCGCAGGTGAATTTTACAACATCCTTCATTTGAGTAGTAGTACACAGATGCTCGTCTATCTAAATTGAAACAGTAATTAATTATATTGGATCTATGCAGTCAAATACTTCTCTCTGAAGTCCGATACAAGATACTGGATATTTTCTTTTGATGCTTCATCTTGCAGAGCTTGCAGAGTATGAAAATTGCTTTCAGTTTCTTTTAATTCCTGGAATTAAAAAAAAAAAACAACAGCAAACAAACACCTTATTTTGTTTCTGATTACATAATTATTATGTAAGAACTGCTTTGGCATAAAGTAAACTACCAAAATCCTTTTGTTTCGTGATCATCAGTTGGAAACTACAATTAAAAAAAAAAAATCAAGTAATCACCAAAGGTTCCATTTGTATATGCTATAATGGTTTTTCTTCTTTTACCTTTATGGAATTGGAGAACCTGTGATTGAAAAGAGGAAAATCTGCTTCAAACCTCTGTATTTCCAGATGTGTAATGTGTAATACAGAGACACAAAGGACAGTTTTTAATTGTGGAAATTTAACTCGTAAAAATAATTCTGAAGTATGATTGGGAAACACAGTATGAAAATAAGAGTCAGTCACACTACTTTGATGTGATTTTCCCAAGGATGGAACTAAACTAATTTCCTCTCCTAGATTAGTCAGTTTTTCCTCAGAAAAGAAAAATATTTCAGGTATTTTCATATGAGGATGGAATTTAAGAGAATAGTACTTAAATTATCACCTGTGCTGATTCCTGTGATAATAAAAACTACAATTTAAAAGCACAGTATAGCAATTAGCAAACACATTGATATAAAAATTATGTAAGGGCTATACTAAGACACTGGGTTATAAGAGAAGAGTGTTGTTTTAGAAATGGGGCATTGCTGCAAGGAAAGAGTAAACTTCTGAATTTCTTGAATAGAAGTAAGTTTAAATTCACTTTGCTTTCCTTTTAGAAATCTAGATACCTGAAAGTGAAATTAGAGCAGCAGCAACAAACAGCCAAGTTAATCAGTTTGACTGTTACATTATGTTATACTTCTGTTATTTAGTATGGGATATCTACTCAAAACACTGTTTAAAGCAATAGTTATCATAACAGTGCTCTTCCTAGCTGACACCAATATCTGCTGGTAACTGCCTGCTGCTTTCAACACGGCTCTGCAGGCCAGGTATAGCTTACAGGGTGAATCCAAATAGTTCCCTGCCTTTTCTGCCATGTTTTGGCCATCAGGCTGTACCTGATGAGGAACCCTTGCCGAGACCCCACAATTGCTAGGGTAGCCTGTGAGAGCCAACAGACAAGTGTTTGTTCCTTGCCTGCAGAGCAGTTAGCAGTTATTAAACACGCATGTCACATGAATATGAATGTGTCTTCAGCCTTTGGAAGACTGGCACAGACACTGGACAGTATTCATTGTGAAACTGCCC